AATTGAAAAAAAAAGTGTTTGTTAGACCTTTTACTGGCAGGCACTTACCAACACAGAAAATGTCAGCATGTTTACAACAATGGCCTTTAAAAAAACCCTGCAGCCGGGCGTGGTGGCACAAGCCTTTAATCCCAGCACTTGGGAGGCAAAGGCAGGAGGATCTTTGTGAGTTTGAGACCAGCCTGGTCTTCAGAGTGAGTTCCAGGACAGCTGGGGCTACAAGGAGACCCTGTCTCAAAAAGACAAATAAATAAATAAATAAATAAACCCTGCAAATATCTAATTGACTCCTTTTTAAAAACACTCTTACATACCTTGGTGTTTAATATAAGATACTGGTTCTTGCTATGCTACTTATTACAAAACATTTCAGTTCCAAATCTTTGTTTTTAAAATCCTGTGAAACATCCAGTAGCATGCATCACTTGCAATGCCTTGCTGACAACACACTTTGGGATTGCTACCCTCATCCCTATTCATTATAAAACATCATAAAGTTTTGTTGTAAGCATTATAAAGTTCATTTTGAAGTGTTTCTCTATACCTATGCAGAGTCTCAAAGCACAAGCTGCAGTTCAAAACCAAGTATCCCGGATTCCAACGTCTGTGGGGCTGTAGCTCTAGGTCCAAAAACTGTAAAGGCTAAGCAAGAAAGAGATAGAGAGACACAGACACTCAGGCTCAGAGTGTCACAATCATTTTGAGGAGCAATCTTTGCCACTCTGGTACATATCCCACAGCACTTTGCAAACACTTATCACTCTGGACAGCAAAAGAACTTCAGCATTAAGACCTTTTAAACATGGGCATGACATTTGGTCTCTAGGCAGGGGGTGGTGCTGGGAAGGCTTCACACCGAAGCACATTATCTCTAGGCATTCCTCTTCTTTATGACAGCAAAAGAACTTCAGCATTAAGACCTTTTAAACATGGGCATGACATTTGCTCTCTAGGCAGGGGGTGGTGCTGGGAAGGCTTCACGCCGAAGCACATTATCTCTAGGCATTTCTCTTCTTTATAGAGGTCTGGGGAGCCATCTCCTCCCCATGCTGCACTTGCCACACCTTTGTCTCTCTGTTTTCTTTTCTTTCTTTCTTGAGTTTTTTCCCTTTGGTTGGGTTTTGTTGTTTCGGAGTGAGACAGGGTTTCACATCTCAGGCTGGCCGTCTCAGGCTGGCCTTAAACTCATTGCATAGCTGAGGAGTAACGTGAACTTCTGATCTGCCTACCTCTGCCTCTTGAGTGCTGAGTGCTAGGATTACAGAAATGTGCCACTACAGCCAGTGTTATGCAGTGCTGGAGCTAGAGCTCAGGGCTTCCTACATACTGTGTAAGCACATTATCAGTGGAGCTACATCTCCAGCCATTGTCCCTTTACTCGTGAATCTTTGCTCCCTTCTCTCCTTTGGCATCTTATCTCAAATCTGTTCAGTGTTTCCCCTATTAAAACAACCACACTTGCTTGCTTTTTATACCTTGGACTGTGACTCTAAATTTCCAGCCTACAACAGTGCTCACAGTCAAGTTTCTAAAAATGGAAATGCATACATTGACTCAGTTTTGATTCAAAAGTCCCTGAAGTTTGACTTTCACAGCAGTCTTCTTTGAAAGTACCCCTGATAAGGTTGCCAAGCGCTTCTAATTGCCATAGCCAAAAGGTATGTCCCGGTCTCATTTCATTCTATTTAGGCTTTTGTTTGGACTTCCCCGGGATCTCCAGAGTACCTTTCTTTCCTAGTTACTTGACTTCATCTCTAGATTCCTTTTCTTTCATTCTAAGCTCACTTTTGCTCATGTGATGACGTTATTCCTTTTTTTGTTTTTTGTCTTGTTGTGGTTTATTTATTTATTTAATTTTTTGTGTATGGGTGTTTTGCTTGCATGCATGTAAGTGCCCGCATAGGCCAGAAGAGAGAGTTGGATTCTCTGGAACTGGAATTATGGATGGTTGTTAGCCACCATCTGGTTGAACCCGGGTCCTCTGGAAGGACAGCAAGTATTCCTAACCACTGAGCAATCTCGCCAGCCCTTGTTTTTGTTTTTGAGACAGGATCTTCCTATAGCCCCAGCTGGCCTGGAACTCAATATGTAGACCAGGTTTTGGCCTCTATCTCACAGAGATCAGCCTGCCTCTGCTGGGATTAAAATCATGTGCTACCATCCTTGGCAATATTATTCTTATATGACCTCCACTATAGCCATAAATTCAAAATCTTTGACCTGTTAGGGCTATTAGAGATCCTCATGTAAGAGTGTTTGCTGTGGCCCATCCACATTGATCAGATGATCAAAAAATCTCATCAATTGTCATGCTCATGCTCCGTCCATCATTTCTCCTCACCTCCTTCTCATCTTCTAGACAGTTTGCTTTCCAACATGTACATCTTCTCCTGATATACACCAACCTTCTACTCTGAAGTCCCAATAAACACTCCAATCCTGATTATCTTATGCCTCAGTTTAAAGTCCTTCATAACATCTGCTTGTGCCAAGGGATAAATTATGAACTATGGGGCAAGGAGTTCAGACTTTCTAAACTCTTTGTTTCCTTCTTTAGGGGACTGAAAATATTTGTGATTCCTTTATGACCTTTATATATCTATTCAGGGTATCTGACACTAACTTTCAAAATTCAGCTTTA